GGAAGATGCCTAAAGCCCCCAAATCAAACCCCTACACTAAGGTGTTGGGCTTTTTGGGCGAGGGTTTTGGCCTGGCGGGCTTGGGTTTGGCATCTCACTACAACGGCCGTCGGGTATGGAACCTTTATAGAGCCCATTCCTTTTGGAATCATTGAAAGCCCTCAGAAGGGAAGCCCTAAAAGCCGGAAAGCATCATAAAAAGCCGGAAAGCATCATAAAACGCATGAAGGAAGCCATTATGAAATCTTGTAAGATTCCCTAAGCCCTAAGCCACAAACCCTACACAAAGCCTTGTAGAACTCCGTAGACATCCCTGATCAGGACGAGCAGAAAGTCCTCTGGATGAGTGACGAAGCCTCGTCTTCGAAGCGCCAGGTGGCACTTCAAGCGTGTCTCAGTCCGGGTAAGTATATTCATCTGTTTGTACATTATTACATATATATATATATATATATATACATATGTATATATATATATATATATATTCACACACCTATGTCTTTGTATATGCGTATGTGTGTGCATATTTTGTATTTAGACACATGCATGACATACATACATAGATACATACATACATACACACGCCTACATACATACATGCATACAAACATACATGCAAGCATGCAGGCAGACAGACATAGAGACAAACATACAGATAGACAGACAGACAGAGACAGACAGAGACAGACAGAGACAGGCAGAGACAGACAGAGACAGACAGAGACAGACAGAGGGACACACAGACAGACAGGCAGACAGACAGACAGACAGACGGAGAGACAGACAGACAGACAGATATGCATATGTACATGCATCCATACATATATACATATGTATATATATATATATATACACATACATATATGAATGATTATATGCCGTAGTCATTACACGTCAGAATGCTACTACTTGCGTAATACTGATATATAGAGTTATTGGAAGAGTACGCAAAGTTTTCCATGAGGGCGCCCCCCCACCCATAGTAATAATAGTGGCCGTCGTCATGAACACAGGAACAGGAGCAAGACTAATCTGAAGATAACAGTAGCTTGACGAATGGCCTCACGTAGTGATATACGTAGGTGTAGCTGTTTATATACACATATGTAAGGCCTTAATTATCTCGCTCGTTCGTTGTACGGGTTACGCTCACTAGTCTTCTCGGATACAGAATGAGGTTTTGGAACGAACGTTTTCTGTCTCAGGATTCTTGCGACGCAGGGACTATGATCCTGGGTGTATACAAGGGAGACGCTTCCGCTTTAATGTAGGGGCCTGGAGAATTTCTTATGTGCATGAGTTAATTGACGTGATGATTTTTAAGGGTTCGCATCCGAACTTTTCAGCGAAGAATCGAGGGCTTCACCTCCCTCGGCTCCAAGGTACTTTTTTGGGTTCGGAGTCTTTAGAGTTTAGGGCTTTTCGCGAAATTTACAACAGGGTTTTGATAGTGGGTTTGGCCCAAAGTCGACATTGAAGGGTAGCGGGGGGCTCGTGATTGTGCGTGGGCTTAAGCAGGACCCGAATTCCAAACAACGCCGCAGGGATATGTCTCTCGGAAATCTGGGGTTGCCATGGATTGAGGAGATCAACTGTTAAAATCGCGGCTCCTCTTCGTAAAGACGTGTTTATCCCCTAGGTTGAAGGTACACGCAAATAGTAACTCAATTAGTTTGCTACTTCATCCCGAACTCGTATAGAACTCTTACCCCCAAACCCTAAAATCTAAGCTTGTTAAAGAAAGGCGTTCAAGACATACACCTCTTAAAGAACCATTCAAGGAACGCGTGCAGAACCCATTGGAGAACCCAAGGTCCCACCGTAGGGATTTGCATAGCTACCAATACCTCATTATTTCTCAGGGCGCCTTAACGTTAGTTAATGTAGGAACCTGATTAAGAAAACTTGGGCCTTTGCAAGGGTTCCTTATATATGATTCCTACTTTTTTTTCGGTTATAGGCCCTCGGTTTCATAATCAGGCTCCAACATGAGACTACACGTTGAGGCCTTTGGGTTGTATGATCCCCCTGTACAACATGTTTAACCCTCGTCCCCCCGGACTTGCGCTCCCCCTTTTTCTGATCTGGCAGATGGATGGCCTGAAGCTCCTGTCTCAAAACATGCCGCAGACTCGGGAGAAGTCTTTCCAGGGTTGAGGGTTTTAGGTTCGTAAGCTGCCGTTTTTTCAAGAGAGCTACAACAAGTATTGCATGGATTTAGTATAGGAGCTGTACATCTAATATAGCGCCTGGGATTTTGGGGTAAGGGTTCGCGTTGCATCGGTTCAGTGCTGGTACTGGTACTGCAGTCGGGGTGGTGCAGCTTGGGCTTCATGTTTCAGTTTTCAGGTTTTGGTATGTGGGCCCTAAACCCTAAACTTCCTAAACCCTAAACCCGCTTAGAGTGGGTTCTTCAATTCAACCTCATCATGTTGACAAAGCTGATGTTCAGGGCGAAGCTGAGGCTCCGAGATTCTTGACCCCACGGTAGACTCCGGCCCAAAAGTTTCTTTAAAGGAGCCTTGTGAAGTCGTAAATGTGTCATATACTACATACGTATATGGGCTCTAGGGATTAGTAGCTACTGTATTTGTACTTGGACCCTTTGGGCATGGACCCTCTACGACCAAGCAAGATCCCCACAGCGCGAGGTTGGAGTTCTCACGTGGCCTCGGTGACATCCTCGCGCAGGCAAGGCCATTGACATGGGTCCCCGATCTTGCCGAGATGCACTAACCTCAAGCTTGAGGGTTTAAGATTGAGGGTTCTGAGCTCAGGGGCTTAGGAATATATCTACATATATATATATATACATATATATATATACACACATGTTTATTTGTTTATTTATTTATACATTTATGTACAGGGTCCCGCGTCGCTCCACACACCAAATCTTATGCCACCCTTGAACCCTTCACCCGAACCCCGGCCCGAACCCCTGCCCCACCCTCAAGACACCAAATCCCACACAACTCCACTTTGTCATAGTTGGGTTTAGGGTTTAGGGTTTAGGGTTTTACATGTTTATGGGTGTTTGAACCCAATAAGGAAAGAACATGTAGAGTTTTACTACTATCTCAACCATGAACTAGTCAGAGTGTTGAGCTTGAGGACACGGGCATCAGCTTCTCGCATAGTTGGAATGCGATGCTGTCCGGCACTTGTGACTGCTTCGCTCACTAGCGTTTTCTTGGTACTTTTTTAGGTCATACGGGAGTTTCCGAAAATAGGGGCCCCTAATACAGTAATATAGTACCCTAAATAGTAGGATCCTTATTGTAAGGACTCAAAAAACAAGGTAGCCCTAATTGTCGGAAACTCCCATAGAGTTCTTGCAGATGCCGGTTTAGAGCTGGGTTGCTCTACAGTACTTACGATACAACGTAAAGCTCTGTGGTTTCAGGGCGGTATGCCCTTCAGAGGACCCAAACTTATTGCAAGGATCCTATTGTACAGCATTCCGCATATTTTTTTGGCCTCTCGGCTTGTGCATCCGATGCCCTATAAACCCTAAACCCGGAACGCGGAACGACACAAGCCCAATAAGCTTGTGCAGGCATCATGCCGAACCCTAAACCATGAACTCTCTGCGCACACTTTACCCGAAACCCGAAAGACAGCCTTAGACCCTGAGGACTTTGGCACGTGCACCCTTGGACTCTCCAAACTCCATGTACCTTTGTAGTATATACCTACATAGGCCTTTTCCTCTATAGTTAGGCACTTTCAGCCCTAAGTATATACTAGAATATGTCTGGTTGTCAAAATGATGGTCCCTTTTTGGGGTCCTTAATATTATACGGCACCTATTCTTTAGGGTACCCCTCAAAAGGGACCCTAATCTTGACAAGTACCCCTCTAGGTACTTGGAGCCTTGAGGATAGCAGTCTGAGGGTTCCCGCGAGAATCTACAGTGCACTCCCCCTTAAACCCTAAACCCTAAGTCCTAAACCCTAAACCCTAGACCCTAAGCCCTAAACCCCAAACCCTAGACTCTAAACCCTAAACCCTAAGCCCTAAACCCTAAACCCCGTACCCTAAACCTTAAACCCTAAGCCCTATAAACCCTAAACCCTTGCTTGAAGGCTTTAGACCTGGCCTAGGGTTTCCGCATTGACGGGGTATAGGGCTTCTTCGGAATTCGTGTTGTATGTGTAAGCTTTTTTGTGAAAGAAATCCTTAGTTACTCCAGACAACTCGTCTTGAAATCAGACACCAAAACGCAAACTCCTATAGCACAGGAAAATGTGGACCAAGACCCTGCTCTTATTATCAACCTTGGTAGTCCCTATATCAAGATTTTAGGGTTTTGGTTTTAGGGTTTAGGGATATGGTCTCATCTACCCCAACCCAATTCTGATGATGTAGGGTTTATGGTTCAGGGAGGGCGTGCTTCAGAGATTCGAGGGTTGGAGAGCTGCCATCGTTTTGGATACACTATGATAGCCTATTCATGGTTAGGATCCTACCATAGAAACTCAAAGCTAATTAGGAAGAGGTCCTACACTTCAGGGTCGAGGTAGGCTGGGACATCTTCGGAATGCCTTGGATTCCTAGTAGCCAGTATTTGTACTGCGGTCAGCGAAGCTGTCAAGTTGCTCGCTCTCTTGCTACGTAGCCATGAAAGAAGCTTCAAGCGCAACATATGCAAACCCCATTTAGATAGAGTCTTTAAATCCACAAGCCCAGAAATCCGCAAGACCCAAATTCCGTACTACCCTGGAAGACCCTCCTACTTGCTGAAGCCCTGAAATCCGAAAGACAAACCCTAAAGGTTCGAAACACCCTAGACTAGACCCCATGCAAAGCCTTAAGCACAAACGACCCCTGACATTCGAAAGACCTCAAACTCCAAGCTCTAAGCCCCGAACCGAAAACAACAATTACCCACATCCTAAACCCTAAACCTTCATCTCTAAAGCCAAAACCCCAAGCCCTTAACCCTAGACCCGCAACCCTATGCCCTAAAACTTAAACCTCGAAGACAACTATCCGCCATGCGTCTGGCGCTTCCCGGCCCTGTTGGGCCGTCGCAGAGGCGACACGCAAAAGCCCGTAACCCTTGTGACGGCTTAGGGCTTGGGGGTTTTCTAGTGTTCAGTGTTTAAGGGATTCTGGGGCATAAAGCCTAGCATTGTAGGGTTTAGGGTTCAGGGCTTGGGGTATCGAGTAGTTGGTCCAATTGCTTGTTTAAAGCCCTTACAAATTATGATACTGATACGCTGGATTGAGTAACCCCAAACCCTGAAACCCTGAACCCTAACAAGCCCTACCTTAACCTGCGAAAACTTGCTTTTCTAGGGTCCAAAGAAACTCCATATTAGGGTTCATAACCAGAGCCTCCCAAGAGTAGGTTACAATAGCTACTTAACGGATCATGGGAATTAGTAAGTAAGGTTATAAGTACCTTAATTGGGGTTATAAGTATAGTTACCCTAATTATAACCCTAGTTACTAAGTCCCATGATTCTTTAAGTAAGGTCAACCCTAACCTGCATCAATCCCGAGAGCATTTCAGCGAATGCCAGGAAGTTTGCAAAGAAGTCGCACAAGGCGCGAGCGAAGGCGGGTCTCGTGAAGGTTTAGGGTTTACGGTCTGTGACTTATATTTGTATAATTAGAATCGGCTTGGGGCTGTATACAAGCGTTGTACTACCCGTAGTTGTAGAAGGGGCTTCCCAGGTCTGGATAAAGGGTGTGTGGGAGGGAGTTCGGGGTTTCTAGAACTCTTTCACAGGGTCCTGCAATGTGTTCAGAAGTTTGTTCGTCAAGTCGAGCCCTTGAGGTACTCTCTGCTGCTTTGTTTGAGCGAGTCCTTGGATATCCGACTGCCTATGCAGTGCGTTATAATGGTTACATACTGTTAAACCTTATATGTAAACTCGATAGTACCCATATGGTAATAGTGCCCATAACCTGGGATTATCAGGAATGTATGATATCACATTGGCAGGTGGGCTTCTACAAAGAGAGTGTTGCTTCACTGGTGCGGCTTTTTAGCTCAACTCAAGCGTGTCATAAGTGTCACTGGTTTGGTTTCACAGGTGTTTGCGGTGGGTCAGAAGGGTGTCTAAATGTGGGCATAAAGCTACCAGAGCAAGGGAAGCATGTTAGCTCGCACATCTGAGTTCCGCAACAAGAGCCCAAGTCACGGTCTGGAATGTTTGGCTGATAAATGTCAAATCTCTAAGTCTTTTCGCATAAGAAACGATCTACTTAGGGTTGAAGGGTCTGGGGTTGAGGTGTTACCCGAAGGGTCCAAAGGACCCAATACGTAGGCCCTCGGTTTTAGGATAGTAGTTATGTAGGTCAGGATTTTGGTGAGTACTTACAGGAGCCTGGGACATAGTAACTAGGGTTATAATTGGGGTAACTATACTTATAACAACTTATAACCCCAGTTATGGTACTTTATAACCTTACTTACTAAGTCCCACGATCCTCTAAGTATATGACTATTGGGTACTTGGACCCTTGGGGTTAGGGTGTCGGTTAGGATTTGTCGGGCTTTAAGGCAGCGCCGACCGTCTGATTTGCCTCAAGGCGCAAAGTGCTATGACCCATAGGTTTTAGTTTTTTCTTAAATAAAAATTAGGTTTTTTGAAAACATATAGTTGTAGGTTTAAAAAAACGAAGCCCGAAACCATGAAGGCAGAGAGCCTGGAAGCACCGAAACCCCAAAGGCACCGCCCCGAACGATCCGGATGCCTTCAAACCCCCAAAACCCCAAAAGGCAAAGCCCTGTTTAAGCGAGGTACCTAGTATTATGGTTAGATTCCGTTATATAGACAAGTAGGTACCCTACAAAAGGGGCAACACTTAAAGGATCATGGGACCTAGTAATTATTTAGGGTTATAATTAGGCTACTATACTTATAACCCCAATTAAGGCACTAATAACCTTACTTACTAAGTCCCATGATCCTCCAAGTAGGTGTTTTGCGAGGTAGAGCCCCGTCAAGCATATCAGCGGGCACAGCTGCTGAGTTGGCTGGGGCGCCTGCGCTACCTGCATTCAGAGTGGGCCTTAGCTTCTGCTTCAATCAACATGAAGTAAGGTCCATATGCGGTTTAATAGCAGGAATTCTGGTGTCTTGTTAAGAGATTTTCCAAGGGATGCAGGTCTAGGGCTTAGGGTTTTAATTTTCGGGTTGAAGGCCTCAGTGTCTCTAGAGTCCTGTTTTTTTGGTGCTTTGGGGATGCTGCAACATGCAATCCGATGTCTTACTCGTAGTCCTAAACTGCATGTTATATCCTGAGCCCTCATCATGGCGCAGCTGTTTGGTGCTTGCGATGGAGCTCAGTTCGTTTTACATACAGAGTGGGTGGCGTTTCTTAAGCACGAAATGCAGCCTGCATTGTCCATAACCCAGTACCGTACGAAAGGAGTACTTGACTGGGCTTCTACAGTGACAGGAGATTTAGAGAACTCACCGACGATCAGGCTGGGTTTTGTCTACAGGCCCAGTTCGGGTTGCTTTTCGGGTTCAGTTTCGATAGCTGAATCTACGCCCGACAGCCAAAAGCCTAACTAACCTTAGCCCGGCATGGCCAAGTAAACGCCTGATAGTCGTGTGCTGCACCACTACTATCCTGAACCCAAGTACCCGGAGCTCCAACCCGGGACAACCCAAGAAGGTAAAACCCTGCTAGCACACTTTTGAAGCTTCTTGTTGGACTCTTATAGAACCCTTAATTCTAGGGTCCTTCTCGACCCCTCCTGCTCCTTGGAAAGAGCGTTTATGTATGGAGCCGCTACCCCAAGGGTCCAAGTACCTAATAACCATATACTCCCCTAAATAGTAACCGACATAACTACTATCTGAAACCTAAGGGTCCTTTGACCTTTGGATCCTTCGGGCTACTGCCTGGGACCCGTTCTAGAACCCTTCATCCTTGCTCCTTCACCCCTACAGGTCCCCGTGCTGAAATCTCAACCCCAAACCCTTAACCCCCAACCCTACACCCTCAACCTTGAACCCGAAGCCTTAAAACCCTTAAGCCCCAAGCCTTACCTGTAGCCGAAAAGACCAACTTTTTTTAAGGAACTATATATAGAAACCATAATAAGGAGCCCTAAAAAGGTAGGTCTTTCCGGCTACAGGTAAACCCTCAACCTTAAACCCGAAGCCTTAAAACCTTAAAGCCCCAAGCCTTAAACCCTCAACCCTCCAAGCGTTAACCCCAAAACCCTAAACCCTTCCTCCTTGCTCCTTGACAATAGCCTGGCCTCGGCCCTGCTGCAGTACTCGATTACCTATATGGGTGGTTGTCAAAATTAGGGTCCCTTTTTGGGGGCCTTATTATAGTACGGCACCTCATATTTAGGGTACCCCATGAAGGGATCATAATTTTGACAGCCACCCATGTATAGCAGAATGTAGGGTTTCTATTTTGGGGATTATGACGATGGCTCGGGAAAGTATCCGCCAACACAGGCCCTAAGCCCTAAACCGCAAAACCTAAACCCTCAACCCCTAAACCCCTGAACCCTCAAAACCATAGGACCCTTAAAGGAGCCCTTAAAGGAAGGAACCCCTATGAATCCCTTACCAGACCCCTCTAAAGGGCACCTAGGACCCTTTGGGCTCTTTGCCTGAGGCTTGCTGCAGCCCTTTCCTGCAGGCGGCTGTGAGCTCAGCCTTTCAGGGCTCCTTTTAAGGTTCCTGTTTTAAAGGAGTCATTATAAAGAAAGGGCTCCTTTTAAGGGTTCCTTTCACAGGAGTCATTGAAAAGAAAGGGCTCCCTTAAGGGCTCCTTCAAGGGTTCCTTTTACAGGAGACATTGTAAGGAAAGGGCTCCCTTAAGGGCTCCCTTAAGGGTTCCTTTAAAAGGTGTCATTGTACAGAAAGGGCTCCTTAGGGTCCATTTAGAGGGATCCTTTAAGGGTCCTTTTTCAAGGGGGGGCTCCTTCTCAGGGTTCCTTTAAGGCATAAGGGGCTCCGAGTTCAGGACGGAGGCTCGAAGAACTTGTACTCTAAAGCTTTCGTGCCCCTAGGCCAGACTATACGAAGCTCATAGTGGCTTAAAAAAACATAGGTTTTTAGATTTTCTGTATGTTTTTTAAATAACCTAAAAGACTATGTTTTTTAAAACCCTATGGGCTATTTGGAGCCTCAGGTTTCGTAGGGTTTAGGGCATGGGTATTCAGAAGGGGTCCGAATGATTCAGCAGTTAGACATATTTGGGGTTAGGCTCGTGGGTTTGTACTTAGTATTCCGGAGAGTATACGATTATCTGGTACTTGGACCCTTCGGATTGTGTGTAAGGGCTTTGTCGTGCTGGCAGTCCTGAGGCTGGCATTTTTCCACGACTCTGGGTGGGTGCCTCGCCGTTGTCGGGGGTGCCCCCCTTTTGACTGCACAAGGCCGGGGTGGGTCCTGGGCTTCAGGACAAAGCCTAAACATAGGTGGCTTTTCAGGAGGCAAAGAGCCCGGGCATGTTACAGTCCACGTTTAGGTGCATGTGCAGCAGAATCGCCTTGGGCAGGATTCCAAACAACAATGAAGAAAGGCAGGGGTGGTGTTGGGTTCAGCCTTCATGGGTGCACCAGAATTGACCCAGGGACAGCGTGCTGTAGTCTCTACGCTTCACCTATTCCGGTCGAGCCTAGCTCCCGAAGGGCCAACAGGCCGCGTGACCCGCTCGCGCTTCGTCTTGTGGGCTACTTCCATGTCGTGGGCTGGCGATTGCGGGAGGAGAAGTACGATGCCGCTCGAAGACCTACTTGGAGGATTATGGGACTTTGCAAGTAAGGTTATAAGTACCTTAATTGGGGCTATAAGTAGTTATAAGTCTAGTTACCCGAATTATACCCCTGATTGGTAAGTCCCATGATCCTTTAAGTAGGGCACCCTAAACCCGAAGCACTCAACCCTGCACTTCTGTTCTGGGATTGCAACTTACTCCCCATGGCAAGCCTAAGCTGATGTCTAGAACCCCCCCTTCCAGCGTTGAACCACTCCCACTCCTGCTTTCATTTGGGTGGTTGTCGAAAATTATGGTCCTTTTTTGGGTCTCTACTTTTAATTGCCTAATATTTAGGGTACCCAAAAAGGGACCCTAATTTTGACAACTACCCATTTAGTTTCGGATTTGGGGTTTAGGGATTCTTAACTAAAGGTTCGAAAACCTTCAACTTGAACCCTGGCGGTCCCTCTCACGGCACCCCTGTAGGACCCCTAAAGTTGCCAAGTTGCACCTTACACCCCCAAAACCCCAGTTCCAAACCCTGTGAACTGAGCCCTAAACCCCTGAATCCCTTAGAGTTGAATCCCTTCAGAAGCCCTGTAACCCTCTACACCCCTAAGCCCCTAAAACCCTCAAAGTTGGATCCCTTTAAAGGACCCTACACCCCTAAACAGGAAACCCTAAAACTAAAACCCTCGACGACCTTAAAGCCCTTCAAAGAGTCCCCCCTTAGGAAACCCTAAACCTAAACCCCTAAACTCCGAAACCCTTAAACCCTAAACCCCTTAACCCTAAACCCCTAAACTCCGAAACCCTTAAACCCTAAACCCCTTAACCTTAAACCATTTAAAGGAATCCTTTTCGGAGCCTCCCCGAGGTGTGCTTATCCGTTTGGGGAGAAGACGTCCCCCGGTCCGGGCTGCCGACTTTGGAGGAGTTCCTGGGCAGCTGCTAGTTGTTGCGTTTGGGCTAGGGTACTATGTATTAGAGTTCCGGGTTGAGGATGTGAGGGCTTTAGGGTATTAGGGTTTGGGGTTTAGGTTTTTTAGGGTATTAGGGTTTAGGGTTCAGGATTGAGGGTTCAGGGTTAGGGTTTGTTGTGGGGAGGGGGCTCACGGCTTAAGGGTTTTAGGGTTTTGGAGGTTTGCAGGGTCTCAGCTTCAGGGTTTAAGTGCTTCGGGTTTTGGTCAGCGGTTTGCGGACTAGGTTTCGCTTTTTGGACGAGAGTTATCTGAAGGTGCCTGCTTTGGAGATCTTTGTTTCGGAAATGCCTCCAAATACCATTATTGTACCTCTAGCTGAAGATCCCAGACGCAGAGACTTGCGACTTGCCAAGACACCAGTCAGAGACATTCCAAGCCAAGCAGGATCTTGAAATTACTCTTAGTAGCTAGATGCATGTGCGACTGAAAGCGTAAACTTTGCGAGGCTTATGCACTAGGCAACTATAGAATTACCATATGGCCACCCCTTGAGGGACATTCAGTCTTTCCCCCGTTGAGGCTCTAAGGGCTCATATCCTAGAGCTCGCGGACCCAGCGACAATACTATATTATAGGTTTAGGGTTTAAGGCGGTTTAGGGTTTAGGTCTATAAGGCTTGCGGGCCATTTCGAGCCTTAGGGTACTATGGAGGTACACTGGTTCCCATGTTCATGTGTTTAGGGCTGCAAAAGAAGGGCCATTGCACTGTGAACGGGTACTTAGAAGCCTGTAGACAACCAAGAATGTATTCTAATCATTGAAAGGTCCGGATATTGCAAGGATTCTGATTGGGAGATTGTACGGCACCTATTATTTAGGGTACCCAAAAAAGGAACCCTAATTTTTGACAACCACCCATGTAGAGGAAAGTCGGCAAACCCTACACCAGAAGAAGTGCGGCCCCGAGGGCATGTGAAGCATAAGAAAGGACAGAACAGACCCTGCAACGACTCAATAGTGTTGATGGACAAAACCCTGCATTACCCATTACAAGGGTTATACCATAGTTCCCATAGTTTAGAGTCCTTAGGGTCATGCAGGCTTTTGTTCATCAACAGTAGCTTTACGATTGGAAATGAAAGTCTCATGTGGAGCGACCCTTAACCCTAGCCCTAAACAAGCTCTCTTCATATCAAAGGTTGCTTTCTTCGTTTCATGGCTCCCTGCACCATCAGGCTCGTGGCGTGCTAAGCTGGGTCTCTGGAGGGTTTTCGCTGGTATATAACTAGGGCTTCTTTACGGCTTCGTCGATGGTTGAAAATCTGTTTTGTCAAAGGGTTCCTGAAACGCCTCCATGCGGGTCCAGGTTCGCGGCTTTTTGGGTTTATGGGTGATGGTTTTGAGTTTGGGTGTGGGTTGTAGGGTTGTGGGATGCAGAGTGCAGGCTCGGCAAAAGGGTGTTCAGGACAAACGTGGTTCGAAAGTGCATCAGGAGTTCCTTTGGCCAGAATCACTTGGTTTGCTCAGTCTGTTGGGTTCCAGATTTCCAGGAGCCGTGACAGCAATGACCAACATGATACAGTAGGTGATCTTCTGGACATGAATCCGTAGGTATGTAGTATGCTACTCACTCTTGATTGCTCCTGGACGTCATTATCATAACATTGCTGTTGTTGTTAGTAGTAGTCCTCTTGCTATCTACCTGTGAGTTTCATTGGCTAACCATGTAGTTCACGTGTGGAAAAGCTATTCAACCGGCTGTTTGTTCGCTTCCGTGGTGTGATTGCTAGAACCGCAGAATGTTGATGGCAAGCACGAGCATTAATAGCACAAACTAATGTAAGGCCTAAGCTCAAAACAGGCAACTCCCTTGCAGAGCCTTCGTGCACTTTCTGCTATAGTTAAGCCTGCATTATTGCCAGCAGCTATCATTCCAATACGTATTCACCATTATTCCCCAGGGTTCCTCAGTGCGCACCCCAAAAACCCTCTTGAACCTATTTGGGCCGCCTCGGTACCTGAAACCTGCAGGCCGTGTTGGAGCCTGTCTGCAGCTCGCTGCTTCTGCAAGCGTGCCACTGCGCTCAGACTCGACAGGGGAGGCCGATAAGGGCCGAGTTTCCCGGAGGTTCCATTTAAAGGGCCCTATAAGGTTCTATACTGGGGGTTCTACTTAAATCGCTCTATAAGAGATTCTATACCAATTCTAGGGTACCTGGAACCGAATCTTCTACTTAGAGGATCATGGGACTTAGAATATAAGTAAGGTTATAAGTACCTGTATTCTGATGTCCGTATCATAAGTCTTTATAAAGGTAGGTGCTTCAAGGTCCAGTAAGCCTGCACCCACAAGCCTAAAGCCCGAATGACAGAATGCTAACCCGAATCCCTAAAATCGAAACCTCAAACCCTAAACCTCCCAAACAAAGTAAACCCGAAGCCCTTAACCTCAGTCCCTAAACCCTAAACTCCCCCCCCAAAAAAAACACACAAGTAAACACGAAGCCCTTTACCCCAAACCCTAAACCCTCAACCCCCCCCCCCCCCAAAAAAAAATATAAACCTGAAGCCCTTGTGACCCCAAATGACAGGCATCTCGATCTTGCCGTCTGCTTTGTGGCGCTTTGTCGGGCTCTGGGACTTCCAGCAAGGCTCCTCGCAGCTCATTAAAACCCTACCTTAACCTAACAGAATCTATTTTTTTTTGGTAGGGTCCCTATAAATCCCATATTAGGGTTTATAACAAGAACCTCCAGAAAAGTAGGGTTTAGTAGCTCTAGGTAAGGCTCTTTAGGGTGACTTAAAGGATCATGGGACTTAGTAACGAGGGTTATAATTAGGGTAACTCTACTTATAACCCCAATTAAGGTACTTTTCACCCTGCTGACGAAGTCCCATGATCCTCCAAGTAAAGCTCTAAGGACTCAAATTGGGAGGCGTTTGGGCCTGAATACCAAACTAAACCAGGACCCCGCAATTGTCCTTTCATGGAGCCCTTATGGTCCTAAATCGTGGGTATTCAGGGTATATTAGAGGGTAGTTGGGGGATCTAGGAATCGCTTCTACAAAGAGCTCTAAACCCTTAACCCTAAACTCAAGACCCACTGTATGAGGCTTTTGGACTCGGGGTGTAAGGGTCCCTAGGACCTAGAGTAGGCCCTTATTCCCTTTTTTAGGGCTCAGGTTCCCTTATAAGCCCCTTTAAACCAAAAAGGGCATCCTTTTTACGCCTGGGTTACTCTTGGGTCTAGGTCCCGAGTAATCAGTCCTTGTTTTGGGACCCTGGGCCTCTTCTGCGCAGCCAAAACCCGACTCTGACCCCCCAAAAGGGGGAGTTTCCGAAAATTAGGGGGGGTACCTTATGTTGGGGTCCTTATAATAAGGATCCTACTATTTAGAGTACTACATTAGGGTCCCCTATTTTCGGAAACTCCCATATAGGGTTTCTTAGTTCTGTCTTCTCCAAGGGGAATGATTCGGAATTAGGGTGCAGGAACGGGTTTTTCGGTGGCTTAGGAAGCAGAGGATGATTCTGTGTAGAAGCCCCTAAAGGAACCCTTCGAAGGAACCCTAAAGTTCTTCGAAACCCTAAACCTACACACAAAGCCTTAATCAAGCCCTCAACCCTGAATCTTCAAGCCTGAACTTTCAACCTCAAACCCTAAACCTCAAGCCCATAAGCCCCACCCCTAAAGCCCTAAATCCCTAAACCCCTCAAAGCCCTAAACCAGAAAACCCTAAACCCTTAAACCCTAAACCCCTCGACCCCAAACCCCTCAAAGCCCTAAACCCCTAAACCCCCAAAGCCCTACAGTAAACATAAAGTTTGAAACCGGACTAAGGCCAAATAGTGCTGGGATTCCCTATACATTACTCTCAAGGGTTGCGGCTATTGGGTTTCCAACTTTTGGGCTTCTAGTGTATAATGCCCTAAATTCCTAAACCCTAAACCCCTCAAAGCCCTAAACCCCTAATCCCCTAAACCCTAAACCCCTCAAAGCCCTAAACCCCTAAACCCCTAAACCCCTAAACCCTAAACCCCTCAAAGCCCTAAACCCCTAAACCCCTAAACCCTAAACCTCTCAAAGCCCTAAACCCCTCAAAGCCCCAAAAAACTCCAAGGCTCGTGCTGGCCTTCAACCTCGCCGCCCCGAAGCCGCCTCCGAAGATCAAAGAGGCCCGCAGACCAAGCGTGTAATATGGGGGCCTCAGGGTTTAGGGTTTAGGGGCGTTTGGGTTCAGGGTTCAGGGTTTAGGGTTTAGGGATTATAAGAGTTTAGGGTTTAGGGTTTAAAAGGGTTTAGGGTTTAGGGTTTAGGGATTATAAGAGTTTAGGGTTTAGGGTTTATAGGGGTTTAGGGTTTAGGGTTGACAGTTTAGGGTTTATAAGAGTTTAGGGTTTAGAGTTTAGGGTTGAGAGTTTAAAGTTTAGAAGACGAAGCGATGCAGTTTAGGGGCCTTTGGGATTTAGGGTTTAGAGGTTAGGGTGTATAAGAGTTTAGGGTCTATAGGGTTTAGGGTTTATAAGAGTTTAGGGTTTAGAGTTTAGGGTTTGGGGGATTAGACCTCACCTTAACCTCAAATAACCCACACAATAGCCCGAATTTCGTTGAGGTTTCATGTGGGTTTAAAGTTCAGGGGCATGGACTTGGTGGGATTCCGTAATTGCGGGTGCTTTCGCATGAGAAGGAGTCTTGCAAGTCATAAAAATGACATCTAACTTTTGAAGAAGCCTTCCAATCCCCCACAGCGAAAAATATGGGAGTTTCCGAAAAATTGGGTACTTTGTTCTGGGGTCCTTATAATAAGCGTCCTACTATTTAGGGTACTATATTAGGGTCCCCTGTTCTTGGACTGGAAGGCCCTTGAGCTTCACCGCCAGAACAATCCCAAACCCCACTTGGAGGATCATGGGACTTAGTAAGTCAGGTTATAAGTACCTTATTAATTGGGGTTGTAAGTAGTTATAAGTACAGTTACCCAAATTATAACCCTAGTTACTAAGTCCCATGATCCTGTAAGTATGAAAGCCTTAAGAATCACATTACGAACGACCCGGATAGCAAACTTTATGAACCCTAAAAGCTTCGACCCGAAGCCCCGAAAGAGAACCCTGATCTCCCAAACCCTAAACCCAAAACCCAGAATCCCTATAGAATCTCTCTTTTTGAAAGCCCCCAAAGGCACCTGCGGAGGCCGAGCCAGAGGATGTGGCGCAGGCCCAAGCGCGACGACGCGTCAGTTTGGGGCCGGAAGTTAAGGGAGGAGGGTTTGTTTTTTGTTGGGGTTGAGGGTTTAGGGTTCACCTGAACCCGCAGGAACCTTCCTTTTCATCAGGCTCCTTAGTATGACTCCCTTCTTAAAAAGGTTTTATGTTCTGTCGGATCCAGGTAGGGTTTAGGGCCGTTTAGAGTTTAGGGATTGCTTTCTGACGAGTGCCAGACTCCAAGGTTGGGTGCGAATTTCGGGACTCGGGTTTGGCGTGGATGTGTTGATTTCGCTAACGAGCGCCCTGAGAGGGCTTAAAGGTTGGAGTTTGGGATTTGGGGTTTCACGGCGCGGCGTAGCGCCATGGGCTGAAGCTTTGGGCTTCAAACATGGGGTCGTGGTGCCAGGGCTTTCATGCAGTTTTCGCGAAGCTGGGGAGTCCGGAATGTCAAAGCCTAACCCCGAGGGGTCCAAAGGATCCAATAATTAGGTATTCGGTTTTAGGATAGTAGTTATGTAGGTTAGGATTTTTGAGAGTAATGATTATGAGGTACTTGGACCCTTGGGGTAAATTAAAGTCTGACATCCTGCAACGGGAACACCAAGCCGCCAAGCCTTAATACACACGGCTCCTGATTATATTACGAGTTCCTCGGGCAGGTTAAGTAGAGTCCAGGAAAGCCCTACACCCAAATCGGGAGTTTCCGAAAATAGGGGGGGCCCTAATATAGTACCCTAAATAGTAGGATCCGAATTATGGGCACCCCCCCGAAAAAGGCACCCCTAATTTTCGGAAACTCTAAACCCTTGATAGAGCCCTTATAGATCCCTGTAAGGAACCCTTCAAGGATCCCTTTAAAGGAACCCCTAAACCGCTAATTTGGGGAAACTCCGAAATGGGATCCTACCGGACCATCTTCGATGGCCAAGAAGCGGAGTCGCTCCTGACCCTAAGACCTGCACCCTAATCCCTAAACGGCCCTAAACCAGATAAAGAAGGCCTTCATAATTTTAATAGGTTATTAAAATAATTTTAAGGAACCGTAGGTAATCATAATTGTAGTCATTAAGGCTTCCGTTTTAATAGAAGTCCCGTGCGCCAGGTGATTGCTGAGTCAGATGAGGAAGGTCCAGGCGAAAGGGCTTGGTTTATCTAGGTTCCTGAGGAGTACCCTTTTGCCTTTTTTTGTTTTAGGGTCCCCTTATTAAGACCGAATAGTTGGAAAAGTATACCCTTATAAAAAATGAGGCTACTCAGGAACCCTGCTGTAGAAGTCCGAACTCTTTTGCCCCAGTTACCCTTGGGCTTGGACCTAGTCTCCGGTTCAGGGTGGTGCAGACCCCCCCCAAAGGGATTACTTTGGTTTCCTGAGGTTTCTTTGTAGGATTCAAACCTTAAACATGGCTCATTCAAGCAAAGCTATTACATGCTACTTGAAGGATCATGGGACTTAGTAAGGAAGGTTACAAGTACCTTGATTGGGGTTATAAGTCACTGTAAGTCTAGTTACCCAAAGTATAACCCGAGTTACTAAGTCACATGATCCTTTAAGTAGGGTCCAGGCAGGGTTGCTCCGTAGGCACTAAACCTGGCTCATGCACATCTTTCTGAAGCAAATTCACTCCTCAACATCACTTAGGGGTACTTGGAAATACTTTTTAATCGTTGGTCCCTTTCATCCTTAAGAAACAACTCATATTACAATTTGTGCTAGGGGTCTAAGTTGAGTCGAGAATCATTGTATGCTCTAGTCGGGATTGCCCTAAACTCTAGTCCTACTGGGAATAGGTCATGCTCTGGTTTGCAATCATGCTCTGGTTTCTGCCCTTGCGACGGGTTCGGAGGATCGCAAGGTCTGGGTCTGAAGCTTGATGGGTTTCGCAGGGCCCCCGGAGTGCACTTTCATGGAGTCTTTACCGCGCCGGGCCGATAGTTCGACCCACTAGTGTAAACATGCCGCAACACATAGCTGCCCACCCTCGTGCCCATAGACTCCGAACGCAAATGAGCCTTGAGGCCTCCTCCGGGAGGAACTAAAAAGTATTTTATTTTACAGGGAACTACCGAAGTCGCAACGCATGTCAGCAAATCGGAGCATACCTTCGGCGAAGCGAGAACGCTAGGTCGTAACATTCCGCGGTGTACTTGGCGATACGAGTTCCTTGCCAAAGTCCCTTTAGTACCACGTGTGGTGTCCGGGCTGGATTGTGCTTGGTAGTAGTACAACTTTAGTACTGGAAATGCATCGTTTGGCGTCCTGGCTGGATTGTGCTTGGTAGTAGTACAACTTTAGTACTGGAAATGCCTCGTTTGGCGTCCGGGCTGGATTGTGCTTGGTTGTAGTTGTAGTACAACTTTAGTACTGGAAATGCATCGTTTGGCGTCCTGGCTGGATTGTGCTTGGTAGTAGTACAACTTTAGTACTGGAAATGCCTCGTTTGGCGTCCGGGCTGGATTGTGCTTGGTTGTAGTACAACTTTAGTACTGGAAATGCCTCGTTTGGCGTCCTGGCTGGATTGTGCTTGGTAGTAGTACAACTTTAGTACTGGAAATGCCTCGTTTGGCGTCCTGGCTGGATTGTGCTTGGTAGTAGTACAACTTTAGTACTGGAAATGCCTCGTTTGGCGTCCGGGCTGGATTGTGCTTGGTTGTAGTACAACTTTAGTACTGGAAATGCCTCGTTTGGCGTCCGGGCTGGATTGTGCTTGGTTGTAGTACAACTTTAGTACTGGAAATGCTTCGTTTGGCGTCCGGGCTGGATTGTGCTTGGTTGTAGTACAACTTTAGTACTGGAAATGCCTCGTTTGGCGTCCGGGCTGGATTGTGCTTGGTTGTAGTACAACTTTAGTACTGGAAATGCCTCGTTTGGCGTCCGGGCTGGATTGTGCTTGGTTGCAGTACAGCTTTAGCACTGGAAGTGCCTCTTGTTGCTTCCAAGCCCACGGTTCGGTAGAAAGTTTCAGACGCGGTGTGTGGAAACCATGTTTTGTGTCAGGCGCGGTTACTTGGGGGAAACAGCAAATGTTATGACTTCTTATCAGCGCTGAACATGCGGAAGCGACGTTGCAGACTACTCAAATATCCCGCGGTGACATGGTGGAAAGCGATTTTGTTATGACTTCCGAAAATGAGTCGTAACGCGCGGTTAGTTGCGGGAAGGCTCGCCCACCGTTTTTGTTATGACTTCGATGTTTACCTGTAATCACTGCGCAGAAATTTCTCCGCTAGCCTGCGTAGGGTAAACGACACTTTGAGATACTCCGCACTCCGCAAGAGCTTGTATGTAAGATGATATGCAAGTGGGTCGAAACTTCCGGCCCGGTGATGTATGGCCCTGAATAGGTATACCCCTGAACCCTAAACCCTAAACCTAAACCCTTATAAAACTTCAGCGCTTATGAGTTGCTTCGAAGGGCTGCACTTGCCGGGTAAAGGATGAGGCCGGTGGGTGGCCTCGTAACATGGGTCACGTGCTTTGAACACCTCAGACTGCAAAGTCGTGTATCCCTGCTGGAGACATGCAGCCTTGCAGATGGTGCAGTCGATGCATCTGGCGGCGCCGAAGGGCAAGGACTCACGCGCTGCTGTTCCGTCAATTTGGAACACTGTGCCAGACACCGCTGCAATGCATGGCAGCCACTAGATCTAGAGGCAGCGGATTCAGATGAGAGTAGTCCGGACATACTGCAAACATGCCTCTCCTGCCGAAGCTTACTGTATGGCTGTGCACGTAGCGCGATTCCTTGAGCTGACTAACCCCTCGCTTTCAGCGCCGAGCACTGTTTGGCTTTGGGTGGGTTTAAGGTAGAATAGAGGGTAGTTGGGGGGGTTTGGGCTGACTTGATTTAGGGTTTGGGGTCTAAGATAATTAGGGTTTAGGCAGATACACGATGGTTTCAGGGCCTCCTGGTAGTAGAGTAAGTAACCTTTAACCTTTGTTGGATAGTATGGTCCCTATATAACCCCTACCCAACAAGGTTAACCTTTAGTTCCCCATGATAACCCAACAAGTAGGGCCTGGTCTAGGGTATGGTTAACCTGCTTTGAACTTTATACCTGCACGCCTTTACCCAACACCCTACGCTCCTGAATCCTAACCCTTACACCTGCAAAAAGCTTGGAAAGCCTTTAGAAGCCCAAGACCATGTCGTGAAACCAGATAAATCCAAACCGAACCTTGTGAATCCTCGAGTCCTGAAGAATAATAAATAAACCAATCCTGCCTCCTCGAAACCTAAACCCTAAACCATACCTGAAACCCTAAACCAGGCACTTAGACCTGCAATCCTAAACCGTAAACCCCTAAATCCTAAACCCTAAAACCCCAAACCCTGTAAATCCTAAACCCCAAACCTTTCTTGTCTCTGCACTGCAGGGATGGAAAGCTTGTTAGAGGGGACCTCCCGTGAAACGGCTAGCACGCTGAGGCTTGCCAGGGCTTCTTTGGCGCTTTCCTAAGGCATAGCAGATAGAGTAATAGCACACATAACAAGAACACGAATAAGACGAGTACGAGCAAATAGGAATAACATATTAGCAGTACTTCTAATTAGTACTTAATTACAAATGGCAAAATATAACAACAATAGCAACAATAACACAATTATGATTCATGAGCGATGTAAGATTTTATGTTTTGTGTTCAGCAGCAGGTCTACGTTTTCAGATGGTAGACTTGTAAGAGTAACAGGTGTTTGGAGAATGCTTAGGGTTTGTTATTCTGTTATAATCAACAGCTTTCGTAAGCCCTAGTAGCAAAAGGTGCAGGGTTTAGAACCTTGGGTGTAGGGCAAGTTAGCGTTTGCTACGGCAGAGTTGTATATGCACTTGTAGAGTTGCAGGGAGGCCAGGAGGGGAGATCATGTTGTACTTACCCACAGGTTTCAAGGAGGGCTACAAGTACTAACTTTGGACCTTACATTCCCTAGCGGTATGCGATTTTGGGCTAGGGCTTGGGGTTTATAGGGTTCAGGGGTGCAGGGTTTAGGGTGTATGGTTTAGGGTTTCGGTCTGGTCTTAACACGGCGAAGCCCGAAAGGTGTTGACCTAACCCTTGAACCAGTAAAACTGAGACCAAATGAGCCGTTATGGAACCCGAGTAGAATGCTGAAAAAAAGACAGGAGCCTTGTAAGGAGTCTCCTGCATAGCATTCCTATCTGGAGAGGCAGGTTTAGCTTTAATTCGCAGGTAGCCCAATGTACCTATACAGCGTATGGATTCAGTCCTAGCTGCGGTTCTTATATGGTAACTCAACATCGGGGCCGGGAGCAGAGGGCTTGTCATTGGGGAAAATGCTCACTCACATGCAGGTCATTCCCTACCTTAGATTATACTGCCAATGCCTGCTTCTTGCTAAGGTCTATACAGCTTATATGGTGGCTGAAATTATGACCCTGCAGGGAAGTAGCCTCTAGTTGTATAAGGTAGCCAAAACTCTGGATATTGGGTTTGGGGCTCTGCTTGTAGCCCCATTGACCCAAGGATCTAGCAAAAGGAGCCCAGCATGAAAACCTGCCGCTCCGTGACAAGAACTCCAGATTAAACCTTTCAGCCCTTAACCGAACCCTCCTCAACCCCAAACCCTAAACCCCTAAACCCTAATCCAGAAACCCTAAACCCCCAAACCCTCCTCAAGCAGGCAAATGGGCTTCGCAAAGGACGCGGTCATGTCGGCCGTGCTCCAAGCCGAAGAGGTCGAGACCCAAGATTTCTATCATGTTCCTAAACCCTGTATCCTAAACCCTACACTCCTATTGGGCCTTTGTCTGGCAGACTGGAGTGCTGGGTATAAGAGGGGCTCAAAAAAAACTACACCCCAAACCCTGTACCCTACACCCTAAACAATAACGTCCTAAAGCCCTAAACACTAAACCGATGTCGGGGCTTCGAGTTCCGGGCTCGGGGCATCGGAACTTCCGAAACCCCAACACGAGGTGACCTCTTGTCTGCTCGCCTTCGGTCCAAAAGGTGCTAGGTAATGTTATCAACTTTCTGACGCCATCATAGTAATCTCCAAACTAGAAACCATACATTCTAGTGTGCATGTACTTGGGATCGTGTGGGAGGGTAGGTAGATTTTCGGGCTTTGGTTTGGCAGTCGTTTGGTCTCTATCTTGTGCAAGTGTCACTGCTGGGTTTTCACGAAGCCACCTGCATCTTATGAGTTTTAGCGTAGGATTTGCATCTTACGACTTAACTGAGGTCAATGGTTTGGGTTCAGGGCTTCGGGCATTGATCAATGAGGGTTTGGGATTCAGGGGGGGCGTGGTCTTGCATTTTAGAGTTGCAGGCTAAGCTTTCCAAAGGATCCATAACTCCCTGGTGCTTAGTAGGGAATGCAGGGAGTGGATCCTTATAGTAGTCCCTATATAATCCCCAATAATCGTCCCCATAACCCATTCCCCCATTCCCTACAAAGAACCAGACAGATAAGGGCTCTAGGTTGGGTACTGCCCGCTCCCAGTAACAGTTGGATAATATTCATAATATATATATATATATATATATATATATATATATATATATATATATTCGGCCCTTAATAGTAGCCCTATTATATTAGACTGTTACTGTCTGGAGGCAGTACCCAACATCTACCCTCTATTAGACCCTAAATGCCCATTATTTGAAGCCATAGACCTCTATTTAAGGGTACATGGAGGGTCCTGGGCTATAGGTATAGGTACTTGGAACCTAAGGGTTAGATCTTCTACGATTTCCGGGATGTTGAGAACTGGTGGGTTCCATGGTGCCTTGAGGACCTGGTGCTTTGTTTTGAGCTCTAGGACTCTAGGGCAGCAAAGTGGAACAAGAGCTGGTCGATGGCCTCGTTAGCTCGGGCCACAGGTCTTATCGCCCTCTCTCGAAGAAGATTCTGTGGGGTTTGGGGTTTGGGGTTTGGGGTTTAGGGTTTTGGGGTTTAGGGTTTGGGGTTTAGGGTTTAGGGTTTGGGGTTTAGGGTTTAGGGTTTAGGGTTTAGGGTTTAGGGGTTTAGGGTTTTGGGGTTTAGGGTTTAGGGGGGGACTTTTGCTAACCTGTCCAGGGCTTTCGAACTCCGACTTGCTTTCAAATTATCAGGATACCCAGGAGCAAGAGCTGCCGTCGATTGCTGCGGTGCAGGGAGAGAGAGAGCTGGAAGAGGCCAGAGTGTGGTTTCAACTCCAGAGGTCACTGCCTCGTTCCTTGCGTCATCTGGGTTCTTGTTAAGGCATGAAATTTAAGATAGACTAACAAAGAAACCATACTAATTAGTTACTGGAGATCCCTAGTATGGTAACTTAAGATAAATTCCATAACAAAAACCCAGTCATGTCGCAGGCCCGTGAGAACTTGGTCTCTCGAACCACGAAGTTGGACTGCATCCTGACGTGGCATGTGCGTTACGAGAGGGTGGGATATCGTGTTTTGGAATAGCTGTTCGACTTCATTGGTTGTCGGGCAGAATAATAATACACACCTTGTAACTTTAGGTTACAAGCTCGACCCCAAACTCCTATACCCTAAACCCCTAAACCCATAAACACCAAAACCCCAAAACCCCTAAACCCCTAAACCCCTAACACCTATGACATGGGGATTAAGTGTAGTGTTTTTCACCACTTTAGGGTTCACCGACACTTTGCATAGAACCCGAGACCCACCCTTAAGCTACCAGGGCCTCTTTTTTTTTTTTTTTAGGGTTTAGGGTTTAGGGTTTAGGGCTTTTCTGTAGGTTCGTTGGTGAACCTTGATATGGGATGTACAGGGACCCGGCAAAAAAAGTAGGTTTGGCTAGGTTGAGGTCAACCTAAACCTCTAGTCCTTATGCTGCTGACCTCGGTGAAGCCAGCGACTCCAATATCCCTTATTTGCGGAATATGTCTGAAATTATAGTAGGATCCCTAATATGGTTTAAGGTAGAACCACCTTAATTAAGGGATCTTTTATAGTAGGACCCCTGTATGATTTAAGATATATACACCTTCATTAAGGGAGGGATGTTACTTGGAGGATCATGGGACTTAGTAAGTAAGGTTATAAGTACCTTAATTGGGGTTATTAGTATAGTTACCCTAATTATAACCCCAGTTACTAAGTCCCGTGATCCTTTAAGTAGAGTCTCTGGGAAGCGAGGATGGGCCGACGGATGTCCTGGACAGGGCCCTCACGCTCTTGACCGAGGCGTGGGTTTACAGTAGAAGCCAGAAAGTTGGAACATGACTTTAGGAGGAGTAGTGCTAGGATCCCTTATACTTTACCTTAAGGGCATGAGGCCAATGATGTTCCAACTTTCTGGCTTCTACTGTATGTGGGTTTGAGGGTTTACGATTTAGGGTTTCAGGGTTTAGGGTTTTGGGGTTCAGGGTCATTAGGGTTTCAGGGTTTAGGGGTTTTGGATTTAGGGTTTTAGGGTTTTTAGGGTTTTGGATATTAGGGTTCAGGGTTTTAAGGGTTGCAGTGTTAGGATTTCAGAGTTCAGGGCTTCAGCGTTTTAGGCTTTACGGTTTAGGATTTCAAGGTTCAGGGTTTTAAAGGTTATCAGGGTTTTAGGGTTCAGTGTTTCGGGTTTTAGGGTTTAGGATTTAGGGTTTACGGTTTTTCGGGTTTAGGATTCAGGGTTTAGGTTTTTAGGGCCTAGGATTTAGGGTTTTAGGGTTTAGGGTTTAGGATTTTGGGGTTCAGGGTTTTCGGGTTTATTAGGGTTTTAGGGTTCAGTGTTTCGGGTTTAGCCTTTTAGGGCTTAGGATGTTAGGGTGTAGAGTCTTAGGGTTTAGGGCTCTAGGGTTTTATAGGGTTCCGAAGTTTAGGTTGCTGAATATGTTCCTTACTGTTCCTAGTAAGGGGTCTAGAGGGGCTACTACACTGGTCAGAGGTCGGGGCTAATCTGGCTTTGATCAGCTTAAAATTCAATGGGTCCAAGTGAGCCACATCCATCGCTTTCTGGACTTTAAGACAATGCCGCGGGAATTCCTGGAGCAAGCCGTGTCCATTGGCACTGACCGCCCAGATCTATCAGAAAGCTGCTTGGTTCGAATGAGTCCACCCTAAACCCTAAACCCTAAACCCTACGGTCTTTGCTCTCTGGAAGCCTCTGCCAGTTGAGGGCTTGCCGTATGGAAATATGGGAGTCTCCGAAAAGTAGGGGTACCTTATTTGGGGGTCCTTATAGTAAGGATCCTACTATTTAAGGGTACTATATTAGGGTCCCCCATTTTCGGAAACTCCCAAAAACAGCAGGCCCGATGAGATCGAGATTTGGCGGCAGCAGCAAATGAGATGGGATTCGGGTTTTGCAGAGTTGTTCAGTTGTTCAGCACGTCATCAGGGTTTCTAAGAGGAATCGGATGTTGCGGTTAAACATTAAGCCTTTTCTACAGCTTCTTTGTCGCGGCTCTGCTGGGTTGGGGGTTTATCTAGACCCCAACTGTCTGGTATTCATATTGCCCCAACTGTTTTGTATTCATATTGCCTTTCATACCTGTACTCTCTGTCAATCAAGGTCCATCAGCGCTCTATTAAGGGGCCTCAGTTTTTCAGCTTACTTGGTAAACACATCCACTCCACAGGCTCGGCAAATTTGTTGAAAGCGTAGACCCCAAACTTGAAACCGTCAGAGAACACCTAATTACCATTGCCCTGAACTCTAAACCCAAAACCCGAAACCCGAATAAAACAAAGAGCCGTTTTAGGACCACCATGAGTCCGAAAACATCCACGGAACCCCTAACCCCTAAAGCCCTAAACCCCTAAAGCCCCAAACCCCCTAAGCCCTAAACCCCTAAACCCTAAACCCCTAAACCCCTAAGCCCTGAACCCTTAACCCCTAACCCCCAAACCACAAAAGCCCTAAACCCCTAAGCCCTGAACCCTTAACCCCTAAAGCCCCAAACCCCCAAACCCCAAAAGCCCTAAACCCCTAAGCCCTGAACCCTTAACTTCTAAACCCCTAAACCCGTCAGGCCCTAAAGCCCTAAACCCTGAAGCCCTGAACCCCTAAACCCCTAAACCCTAAGCCCTAAACCCTTAAGCATTTTGCGTAAACCCTAGTTTTTGCCAACCATCTATTCTAAGCATTTTCCGTAAACCCTGAAGCCCTTCTACACCCCTCAAACCCTGAAGCCCTGAAGCCCTAAACCCCTGAACCCTAAACCCTAAACCGCTAACCCATCCCTAAAGCCCTAAACCCCTGAACCCTTAACCCTAAAACCAAAAAACCCTAAAACCTAGAACCCCTAAACCCCAAAAGCCCTAAACCCCTAAAGCCCGGAAACCCTTAACTTCGACACCCCTAAATCCCTTAACCCTTATCCCTAACCTCCTAAAGCCATCCCTAAACCCCTAAACTAAACCCCTAAACCCTAAACTCTAAACCCTCAACCTTTACCCTGAACCCTTAAACCCCTAAATCCCTAAACCCCTGAACCCCTAAACCCTTAACTTCCTCCCCCAGCCGTTCATGTCCCAGGGCTCCCGCCCGTCGCAGCCGAGGCCAGGCTGATGCCACCCAGACCGGGGTTTAAGATTTAAGGCTTTTTGGGGCTTAATAGGGTTTAGGGTTTAGGGTTAAGATTTTAAGGCTTTAGTGTTTAGGGATTTAAGGCTTTTGTTAAGATTTAGGGCTTTTTGGGGCCTAAGGTTTGGGGTTTAAGATTTAAGGCTTTAGTGTTTAGGGATTTAAGGCTTTTGTTAAGATTTAGGGCTTTTTGGGGCCTAAGGTTTGGGATGTATGGGTTCAGATTTAAGGCTTTTTGGGGCTTAAGGTTTGGGATTTATGGATTTAGGGCTTTAGTGTTTTAGGGTTTAAGGCTTGTGGTTTTAGGGCTTTTAGGGCTTTTAGGGCTTAAGGTTTGGGATTTATGGGTTTAGGGCTTTTGGGGCCTCAGGTTTGGGATTTATGGGTGTAGGGCTTTAGTGCTTTAGGGTTTAAGGCTTGTGGTTTTGGGGCTTTTAGGGCTTTGTAGGGCTTAAGGTTTGGGATTTATGGGTGTAGGGCTTTTGGGGCCTCAGGTTTGGGATTTATGGGTGTAGGGCTTTAGTGCTTTAGGGTTTAAGGCTTGTGGTTTTGGGGCTTTTAGGGCTTAAGGTTTGGGATTTATGGAACTAGGGCTTTAGCGTTTTAGGGTTTAAGGCTTGTGGCTTTAGGGCTTTGTAGGGCTTAAGGTTTGGGATTTATGGGTTTAGGGCTTTAGTGTTTTAGGGTTTAAGGCTTGCGGGCTTGCAGGTCTTAAGGTTTGGTATATATGGGTTTAGGGCTTTAGGGTTTAAGGCTTGTGGTTTTAGGGCTTTTAGGGTTGGCTCAACCGAGACTTGCCGAGTGTTCAACACAGATCCCAGACAAGCCTTTTTTCAAGGATGTCGTCGGACAAGAAGTCTTCGAAAACCCCTTCGACACGTGCACCCACCTCGGCGGCGGGAGCTCTAGAAGGTTTCGAGCCGGATGATTCCATGTGCACCAGCAAGGCCAGCAAGCCGAGCAGCAGCCGGCCAGAAAAAGATCGGGGCCCCGGCCGCCGCATCAACAAGCTCCGCAGGGCCATAATGAAGAACGGCGTCGACACCAGTGCCATATGGGCCTAAGGTTTGGGATTTATGGGTTTAGGGCTGTAGTGCTTTAGGGTTTAAGGCTGGTGGTTTTAGGGCTTTCAAGGCTTTGGGCTGGAGGTTTGGGACAAGGTTAAGGGTTAGGGGCTTCGTGGTTGTCGTTGTTTTGAAGGGGCTTTGTTAAGGCTTGGGGATTGAGGGGTTTCGGCTTCAGGGTGTTAGGTCGGAGGGATTGAATTTAAAGGCTTTAGGCTTCAGGGTCTTAGGTTGGAGGGGTTGAATTTGAATGCTTTTCGGGTCGGTGTTTAGCAGTACTCCAATGTAAGGTTGAAAGGCTTGAAGTTGCATTGAGAGAAAGTACGTATAAATCTTACGAGCCGGTGCTTTTCAGAGTTTGCACTCTGAGGCTTGAGGGGTGTAAGACCTTAGGTCGAGCCCCTCGAAAACTTAGCTTTGGATCCCTAAACTCAGAGCCCCGACTTCGTATGACAACCGGGTATCCGATCTCCGATGTTTTGTTCCTCAACCTACAGATTGGGTCAATGCTCTTACTATGCTAGCACTCCAGGATGTATGAGCCCGGATGTGTACCTACAGTAGTCCCTGTGATCACTCTTTTTGGTGGATAACAGAGACTGACAAGCCTTTGGGCTTTAAGCCGTTACCTGCACTCTGGAAAGTTGTGTTTGGAAGTTTGGTGATATCTTTGTTATGGTTCCGATGTTCTACTAAGACTTGATTACGAAGTTAAAGCAACCAACAAGTTTTTGAGGCGTGTATACATGCCAGACCAGCAGCGAGACACCCCAACGTCTGACAGGCACCTGAAGCGGCCGAAGACGTTCAAGCAGACGAAGCTGCAAGGTGACTGCCCATTCTGCGGAGCACGCTTTCAAACGGGAGCATTCTGCACCAACTGTGGACCCCTGGCAGGCACGAGTTCACACCGGGGTCGGACACAAAACTAGTAATGCTAATCTAATAATCTCTCCTGAGACTCCATGCTACAGAACTCAGAGTCTTCGTACGGTTTTACTTTCTACGGAATTTATGGGGACCTGCAAAAGACGTGTGTTTTCGGTAGCTTAAGGAAGATTAGAGAGCGGAGCAGTCTTCGGCTGGTTTGTTTTCGGTTTAGGGCTTAGGGGGTTTGTTGGGTTCAGGGTTTGGGGGTTTTAGGGGTTTGGGTTGGGTTTAGGGTTTAGGGGCTTGTGGTTTAGGGTTCAGGGTTTAAGGTTTAGGGTTTAGGTTTGTTTTTGTTTGGGGCGGAGTGGGGGACCTGTGTTCGAGGCTGTTTGTGCTTGGGGTTTTGCGAGAATAGAGGTCTGGGTGGGATTTAGGGTTGGAAATCCAATAGCCTCAATCCCGAAGAGCATCATATACTTTTTCCCAGCACTATTTGGCCTTAATCCCGTTTCCAACTTTATGGGTTTAAAGGAGCATGGGATTTAGTAACTAGGGGTATAACTAGGTAAGTACACGTATAACCCCAGTGACCGTACTTATAACCTTACTTACTAAGTCCCATGATCCTCCCAAGCAGGCCCTAGACCCTAAACCCATCGATCCCTTTGAGGAACCCTATAGATCCCTCTAAGGAATCCTTTAAGGAACCTTACTAAGTCCCATGATCCTCCAAATAATTTTTTAAGGGTTTAGAGCACTGGGTTGGTTGCTAGGGGCTTTCTGTTGAGTAAGTCTGTGGGGCTCGGAAATATCAATTTCCCTAATCACCCCAAAATCACAGAAAGATGCTCTACTAAATTGGGTTCTTGTGAAGGTTTAATATAAGTTACCATAATAGGGGTCTATAGTAAATACTATGGTTTCTTGATTATGGTAAATTCGAATAAAATCGCTGAACGAAAGCCCAGCATAGTTTTGCGGCGTTCAAGAAACACCCTGAGCCCAGACACAAAAGCTTTACATCCTCGAACGATCGTTACACTCCAGTGTGTAGCTACTGTAGGAAAGCGTCTTCGTGGAGGAGGGCCAACCGGCAGCTTGGCAGTACCCCCTAGTACATCGGGTTTTTCGGGAATCTTTGTAAACCCAAGCCGGGGTTCACGATTAGGGTTTACATTGTCCCCGAGACTTGTATGGCTCCGATGTATATAAGCTTTCAAGTAGTTGTTATTTTGTAGGATCAGGCTTCATTGCAATTTTACAGGGCCTACCGACTTTCATAGGCTTAGTGCATTTGTTGTTTGTGTGTGTGTGTTTTCAATTTTGAGTTTCCCACATATGGTGTTGTCGTGCGTTCGTATGTCGTATGTCATGACCTGGTTAGGCTTTAGGATAGGGACAGTATAGTGTTTCTAGACAAGGATATCTTCTCAGAGGTAAAGCGTGTTTTTGCTCTGAGGCAATATTTCAGCAGGGGAAGGCAGTCAGAATGTGAACGCAGATTTGCAGGTTGTACAATGGTTTCAGGGACCCAAACTCATCGTGCTCCTGTTCCTGGGTTCTTGTTAAGGAATTTCATTTAAGTTACCATAACAAATAAAACGTGTTATTTACGATCGATCCCTGTTATGGTAACTTCAACTACATTCCTTAACAGTAACCACAGGTTCAATAATACCCTCTCTGCCCCTTTCCATCTTTTTGCGGTGGGTGTTGAAGTCAGGTATGGGGAGGCTGTTCATTTCGGTGCCTATGGGGACGTGGCTGTAGCGATCAGCATCGATGCTCAGACATCCGAGCAGGAATCGCACTTCACAGCAACCTCGGGCCCAGAGGGTCGACATGCACTCGCATTATGCAGCCATGACAGTCGCTCAGGGCCTACTTCCATAGCCTGAGCCCTCAACGGTTCAGCCCTAAGCCCTTCTTCCTGTGTGTTGATGTTTTACCCCAAAATCGTTAAAGTCGGTAAAGCTACCTAAGTACTTCTGCACATGTTGGAGAACTGGGTAAAGCTTAAAGCGGCTCGTTGCCAGGGGTTTTCAACTCAGCTGCTGCTGAGGTGCTGCAGACTTGCAGAAACAGGCTGCTCCCGATGCTGAAGCCGACGACGACATCGTGGAGCCTTGGAGGAAAGCCGAGGAAGCGGTGCCAGCATAAACCATAGCAAACCCCAACCCTAACCTGAACCTCTCAACACTTAACCCCAATGCAACACCATCAAAGGCACCCCCCCTTGGACCCCACAGTAGCCCTGCCCCCGCAATCATTGAGAAACAGTAACATCTCACGCTCGAACATGCCCTTTATGTCCGAATGCAGAACAACTCTAATGGGTGCGCGTAAGGTTTGAGCGTGTAGCAGTTCAGAGTTTAGGGGGGTTGGGGGTCTAGGCGCTTAGTGGTTTAGGGTGGAATCTTTCCGGACTTCCCTTCCGTTTCTGTCGAGACGCGTCCACACACACACACACACACTCGGAAGCCCTAGACCAAACCCTGAGCCCTAAGCCCTAAACCCTAAACGTTCTAAGCCCCAAACTCTGAACCCCAGCCCAAAGCCCAGTGCCCCGATTCCTAAAGGTATCTGCGTGGCCAGAAGTGTACGACATCGATGCCAGCTCATGGATTGCCGTGGATGTCGCCTCCCGGCTGTTGGGTCGATTCAGGTTTAGGGCTTAGGGTTTAGGGTTTAGGGTTCATGAAGGGTTGGGAGTTCAGGATTTCAGGGTTTTCCTTAAACCCCAGAGTGACAAGTGCAGCTCGCAAAGCCTGCAGATGCCTACAGTGCATGGTCAGTTGCGGCTTTCCTTATCAAGGTCCTCAATAAGGTCGGCTCTTGGGTGTCTAAGGTTGGGCTTAGGGTTTGCTATGAGTTAGGGTGGAAGTGTTGCAGTTCAGGGCTTACGGTTTCTGGGCGACCGGACAACACACCCAAAGGGTCCAAGTGACAGTATAGTGCATGTGTATATATATATATATACATATATAATGTATAGATGCACAATATAATGTACATATATATATATATGCATATTATATGGGGCCCAAATATCTAGCCTATGAGCCGATAAGAATGGGTAAGCTCCTGCACCAGCAGACAGGCGACCCCACCGTAAGCCTACATTCACCCCAGGATCCTCATGAGAAGGACCCCACCCTAAACCCTAAACCCTACCTGCAGCCGAAAAGACCTACCGTTTTTAAGGAACTGTCTATAGAAACCATAATGAGGAACCCTAAGAATTGTAGGTCTTTCCGGCTACAGGTAGTTGCAAGAAGACTCAGTGTTTTTGTTCCGTATTTGCCTCTGGCTTGAGGCTTCCGACAGTTCAGTGTACCCCAGGCACCGGTCTTCCTGACTCCGGATCCGTAGATCAGGGTTTACAGTAGAAGCCGAAACGTTGGAAACCCAATAGCTTCAATCCTTATAAGAGTAGTATATAGGGAATCCCAGCACTATTTGGCCTAAATCCGGTTTCCAACTTTATGGGGTTTACTGTAGGGTTTATAGCGGTCTAGGGTTGCAGCCAAGCTCAATGCTAAGCCCTAAACCCATCTCCTGGGGCCGCGAATAAAGCCAAACGAGTCCTTCCACCATAGGTATCCCTACTTGGAAGATCATGGGACATAATAAGTCAGGTTATAAGTACCAGTACTTATAAGTACAGTTACCCAAATTACAACCCTGGTTACTAAGTCCCATGATCCTTTAAGTAAGGCCCTGAGTGCTAAACCAAACCGCTAAGTCCACCCACGAAAAAAGCAGACCCTAAACCCCCAAACTCTAAACCCCGCAACGACAGCCGAAAGCCTCATAGAACCCTTCCAAGGAAATCATAAAGGAAACCCCGAAACGATCCCTAAAGCCCAACTCTAGCCAATGGCCGAGGCTTTCGGCGACCTCGTGCGACATCCCGTGGTGGAGTGGCCACATCGAGGCTCTCTGGGTCCTGGGTTGTGGAAAAACGGAACTCTCAGGGCGAGACAGAGGGCCCTAAGCCTCCGAACCCTTCACCCTGCCCCGAACCCTCGGATCCCTAAACCCAAACCCCAATAATACCCTGGAAGCCTTAAAGCACCGAATCTCTGAACCCAAAAATGCTACACATGCCCTTCCCTTCCCCTTTGCTGCTCACACCCAGGGGCCAGCAGGGATCCGAGTAAAAGATTAAAAGAAGTCAAGTCTATCCCAAAGGGTCCATGTACCCAAGTAGTACATTCTTTGGCCCTAAAGTACCTTCAGAGGGACTACTTTAAGGCCGATGTATATACTATATGAGTACATGGACTCTTAGGGTATTGGAAGGTTCTGGTTGCAGAGCAACCCTGCACCCTGAGCCGCAAACTCGAAGCCTTGAGCCCGAAACCACGCAGTTCCCCCAGGGCAAGGCAGCTCAGCACAAGGTTGAAGCGCCTACAGTAGAAGCTAGAAAGTTGGAACATCATTATCCTCATGCCCTTTAAGGTAAAGTATAGTATAAGGGATCCTAGCACTAATCCTCCTAAAACCACGTTCCAACTTCCTGGGGTTCACTGTAAGCTTTAAAGCCGGAGGCCGGCCAGTCTGGCTCTGCATAAGGACAAGAGATTGTTCCTCTGGGTTCCTGATTTCCTGATTACTTTCATTATTGCTAATACTCATGCTAAAATGATTGTTAATAGTCATGCTATATTGATAGTTAATAATCATGCTATGATGTCCCCCAAAAAGTCCTATTTCAATTGTCAAGGCCTGCTTGCTACCAGTAGCCCCTAAGCCCTGGACTCGTGAGACAGGGACTCCTATGCTTTGGATCTGTGCGGCGGGGATCGATGCGAACGGAGGCCACGTCTGATTTGGGATTGAGGCTGACAATAAATTTTACGGGGAACTCCTATATGGTGGCTTTAGGGCCAAAGTACATCCTCTCTCTCTCTCTCTGTCTTACTCTCTCTCTCTCTCTCGCTTTATCTCCCTTTCTCTATCTCGCCATACACATACATGCATGCATGTATGCTTGTATGTTTGTACGCATGTCTTCATGGAATGGTTGCTTAACGTTTATATTGGTGGGGCTTCTGTTCATTAGTGCTTGTTCCCGTTTCATTTCACCCTTGGAAATTCCGGAAAGAGCCCTAAACCGTACAATCCTTAAAGCCCTTAACCCCTAAAACCCTCAAATCCCGAAAGCCCTAACGCAACCTCTAAGAAACCTGAGCCCGATTTCCGTAGCTTCACAGCCAGGCTTCAGATACCGGGACGTCACCGCACGCTACTCTCCGCGCTGGTGGGAAGTGGAGCTGGCACGTGGGTCCCGCTCTTTACAGGCAGCTTGGAAACCCCAAACCCTCAGCCTGTAACTTTATACCCTGACCATTTAAACCTTAAACGGCCCTAAAACCTGAATCCTAATTGGGGGCTTGAGGGGTTTGGGGTTGGAGACTCATGGGGTTTGCAGTTGGGAGTTTAGGAACAGGGGGCTTTGGAGTTCAGGGTTTGGGTGTTTTTGGGTTCGGGAGTTTGGGATATGGTGCTTAATCAGGTCTAAGACTACCAAGGAAGACTGCAGGTGCGGCATTTACCTGCGGTTTCAGGCTACGTATGTACAGCAAGCAGAACACGGCTGGTTAAGTGGTACTCATTTACCCTACATCCTTACTGCTGACGAAGTATTTGGCATGATGGAGATGGTAAGCGGCAGAACTTTGGTCCTCCGGCAGTCGCACTATAAATCAGTAAATGTCTGATCCCCGTGTATGTCGTAGGTTCAAATTTTGCACTGGTCAAGATTGTAGTAGGATCCTCTTTATGAGGGTGTCTGTACTATTGTGGGGACCTAAAGGACATTGAAGGAACTCCAATTTAGAGAACTACCCATGTATAGGTACTAGGAGATCAGAAGATGCGGAGAATCCGCCGTGCACTTCGCTCAGACGTACGTGAAAATGCAGACGTAGTCGCACCTTGACCATCTATGATCTTATGAGCTCAGACATGCTGTGAGAGAACGGGACAAAGGAGGAGAGAACGGCAGCGAGAGGGATACAGAGAGACAGAGAGCAAGAAAGAGACGGAGACAGAGTGCCAGATCAATGTCACTGGGATATTGGCAGCGGCTGGGCCGCTTTCTCTAAGCCTCGAACCCTGAGTCAAGCATCCCAAACAAAACTCGAGTTTGCACGACACTGAACCCCAAATGCCTAAAACCTTACAACTCTCTGAACACAGGACTGGTTTGCGGAGATGCTAAAGTGCATGTCGGATACCGGACCTCTTTGGCCAGCAATAGCCCCTCGACATGGGAGGGGAAATCTCGTTGCATTTCGTTAGGATAAAAGGGGCTAGCCCTGAGTACTTGGAGGATCATGGGACTTAGTAAGTAAGGGGAACTCCAGAAAGTTGGAATATGGTTTCAGGGTAGGATACCTCATAATTTACCATAAAGGGTTTAGGATAATCATATTCCAACTTTCTGGCTTTTACTTTAAGGTAATAAGTACCCTCATTGGGGTTATAAGTATAGTTCCCCGCATGAAGCCCGAGTGACAAGTCCTATGATCCTTCAGGTAGTGTTTAGGGTTTAGGGTTTAAGGGTTTAGGGTTTAGGGTTTGGGGTTTAGGGTTTAGGGTCAGGCTCCATTGAGCAGTCTGGGGTGACGGAGGCATTCACAAGGTTCCTAAACATTGTTGACCAAAACATCCGGCAGCCACGACCGCAAACTCAAAGCCTGCAACTCGATGCCAAAGATTCTAAGACTGTGTCCGAGTTGCAAAGCATGATTGTACCTTGTGCAGTGAACGGGCTGTACCGCCAACACTCGGGACTGACAGCACGACCAACAGCAGTCCAAAGAGCAGAAGAGCGTGTGGACAAAGCTTCACACTGGCATGAAGCTGTTACTGCCGATTCACATGATGGCCTGGATGGTGATGATTCGGTGGTGATCGTACAATGAAACATTAGAGTCACTGGAGCTTCACGATCTTCGACAGAGCAGCTGCATGTTCATCACAACGGCCCGCATGTCCTGGAGGATCAGATCTGTGAGAGCATGCTGTATATCGACAAATTAATTCGGAGCGGAGACGATGAGGACGAATGGCAATGAGGAACGTGCAGATGCTGACCGTCATTAGCAGCACCAGCACCAGTACCAGCAGCATCCAGGTCTGTCTCATCT